GAGAGCTTAGCATAGTGAACTTGGAATTGCAGAGAAAAGATGGAGTGTGGTCAACACAGTGTTAATAGTGTTAGATGTGGGCAAAGAGGACTCCTCCGGAGGGACATGTCCTGGCCCTCCTCCTGCCATGCCCGTCCCCACGAGGCACACTTGCAGGACCAGGGAAATGTGACCACCCAGAGCTTTTGTCCCCATCTCATCCACTAGACCCTGGACTCCCTGTCCAAACAGACACAAGCCTGCTTCAAGGGCTTGTACCAGCCTCTCACCAGGTCCATTCTCCCAAAGGTGGGGCTGCCATGGTGCACACCCTAAGGCCCGAGTGGTCGGTGGCCAAGGGGCGGGTGGTGTCTTGCAGGGATATGATGGCATGTGAGGTGCGGGCTGGGGTATCTCTTGCAATGTGGGAAAGAATCAGGTGGGAAAAGGGGGACAGCCTTGATCATGGGATGGTTGGCTTTGACAACACTTTGTGGCACAGACCTGAGTCTGAGAATTCTAAATTTGAACTTGGCCTTCCAGGAAGTTATAAGAAGGTAGGAGGACAGAACATATTTGAGCTTGGCTTAATTTATAAGAAATATTAAGACATGGCATGGCATGTGGGCCTTCATTTGTATTCTTGCCTCTGGCTTTGCAAATGAAAGGAATTTATTTTTTTAATTATTTTTTTGGCCGGGCCGCACAACTTGTGGGGTCTTAGTTCCCCGACCAGGGACTGAACCCATGCCCTCGGCAGTGAAAGGGCAGAGTCGTAACCACTGGCCCGCCAAGAAATTCCCTAAAGGAATGTATTTTAGCACTAGATAGGCCTAAACTTGAAGATCTGGGCAAGCCATTTATTGGTTATGTGACTTTTGGGCAATTTACTTGTACTCTCTAATAATACTGATGTCAAGGCTCTCTCAGTTGCAAGTAAGAGTATCCCAACTCAAACGGACAATCATAAACAGGAATCTATTGGCTCTTATAACTGACAGTCCAGTGGTGGCAACCTCAGGTGTGTCTGGATCCAGCTGTCTAAACAAGCAGCATCCTTAGCACAGCATCTCTCTACATCTTTGGCTGCTTTCCTGTGTTGGCTTCATTCTTGGACAGGACTACACATAGTTTCTTTACATCCAACTTACTAAGCAATCCCAGCAGAAAATTAAACATATTTTCACTTTTCTAAAGTTCTGGCAAAGTCCAGGAATATGCTGATTGGTTATATGCCCACCATGGAGGGTCTGGGTCTATCCCCTATAAATTGTACAGATTAAGATTTGGGGAAGTGGGACTTCACCAAATAAAAACTAAGATGTGGCTGGTTACTGGGTTTTGCTGAGGCAAAAACAATAGTGAGTTGGTAGGGATTGAAGGCTTCGCACTCAACGTTAGCCACTATTAATGTGACCAAGAAAATGAAAATGGACTCAAACTGGGTATGTATACTGAATAGAAAGCAAGTGGAAACCACATTCATTTTCCAATTGCCCTGAACCCTGGGATCAGAGTTGGAAGCTTGAAGAAATGAAGACTTGGACATACAGTCACAATCTCAAGAAGACATTCCCAGGTTTGCGTATATGAATCATGCTTTCGGTTGCTGTGGCTGATTCTGCAGTGCCAACCTGTTCTATCAGTGGGCCTCAGCCTCAAGAGCTGTGTGCTCAAAACAAGCCAGGATCACCTGGAAGACTCATATTTCTGGAATTTTGTAGAGGAGAACATGAATCCCAAATTATTGTTTCTAGATATGTGGCCAGTTTGGGGCAATGCTGAGTCTCTGATATAACCTATAATCATTTTTTTTTAATATTTATTTGGTTGTACCAGGTCTTAGTTGCGGCAGGCGGGCTCCTTAGCTGTGGCATATGAACTCTTAGTTGCGGCATGCATGTGGGATCTAGCTCCCTGACCAGGGATCGAACCCGGGCCCCCTGCATTGGGAGCACAGAGTCTTAACCACTGGGCCACCAGGGAAGTCCCAACCTATCATCATTGATAACTCATCACCAGAGTATGTGCTTCCTACTTACCTCCTATAATCTCTAATTGCAGAACATCTTTTTTGTTTTTGGCTGCACAGTGCAGCTTGCGGGATCTTAGTTCCCCGACCAGGGATCGAACCCGTGCCCCTTGCAGTGGAAGCATGGAGTCCTAACCACTGAACAGCCAGGGAATCCCCCAGAACATCTTTTAAATAAGAGTATTCTCATTACCTTAATTGAAATTGATGAAGACTATCAACAGGCCTTTAGATGTGCACTTTTGTGGTTTAAATATTTTTTTCTATTTTTGATGACTGATAAAAATAATCTATAAAGCACCATTTTAAAATATTTCCCCAAGTTTTTATTTTGAAAAATTTCAAACCTACACACATTGAAATAGTAATATTTAAGTATTAACACTGCCTTCACACACAAGGATTTTTTACCAAAAAACCACGGTGGCCTCTAGGCTACATGAGTATCTAGGTAACTTCTCCATGCTTACAAGAGAAGCAGCCTCATCTTTAGTGAGAGGAGCTTTCTGTCCTCAGGAAGTCTCTGTATTGACTTTTTTGTAGTGCTTTCATTCATCTTATTAGAAATTCATAGCCCTGCAAAGCACGAAGGACAGGATTTATTCCCATTTTACAGATGAGGAAACGAACTCAGAGAGGTCAAGTGATCTGTCTGTTCAAGGTCTCAAGTCAGTAAGTGCCCCAGCTGAAATTGGAACTGAAGACTTCTGACTTCCGTAACTCAACATTCTGTGGTCACTTCCTCTCCTGGATATACAGAGTAAAGCCAGAGCCAAGCAGATATGCAAAGTGTTTTAGTCTCATTCTTCAAACAATCAGAAAGCAAGTATTCACCAGGACCCAGGTGCATAGTATTATCAATCAGAAGTCTATTCTTAGGAACATAAAACCACAATACACAGAGGGTACTGAAATTTCTGTCAACTGCTCTGGTTTGAGTTCAACATTTATTGAGTGCTTACTCTATCCCAGGTACTGTGTGTGGGATACAGAGCAAATCAGACCGACAAGGAGTCTTGTCACATTCCAGTGGGTTAATGAACAATCCAGAAGCTCAATGAGACTGCTGGTCTGCATCCTGCCCACAGTAGCATTCTGTTTGGTCCCCACAGTGCCTAAGTTTTTCTGTTTATAATGAATTGCCAACTTCTAGCTTCTCTGAAACAGGCAACTTCTGCTGGAATCCTGAATATTAAGTCGCAGCCACGCCTGCCCCTCACCCAGGACACATGCCCCCTAGAGATCACTTCAGTTCCATTTCCTACTGTCTTACACCCAGACGACTGTGGCCTAAATCACCCACTTATATTACCCACTTGACATCCATAAGCATTTAAACTGAAAACCCCTGAAGCCAACAAATATCCAAACAAGATAATTTCAGATAGCATTAAGTAATGCAAAATAAAATAAAATAAGCTAATGTGATGGATGTGATATGATTGGTGTAAAGGGCTACTTCAGATTGGGTGGCCAGGGAGGGTTTCTCTGAAGTATAATCGAAACTGAGAACTGAATTATGACAAGCATGACAAGACTGCCAACAGAAGAAAAAAAAATGCTTCTAAGCAAAGGGAAAAGCATAGGCACAAGTCCCCCTCGAGGCTGGAAATAACTTGGCTTGGTGGAGGAAAGTGGTAACAAGGTCACGGAAGAAGGAAGAAGCCAGATTACATAGGACCTTGTAGGCCATGGTGAGAGTTTTGGATTTTATTCCAACTGTGATGGGGTGTCTTTTCAGGGTTTTAACTTGGGAACAATGGGATCTGGTTTACATTTTTAAAAGATCACCCTGCTACATAGAAAAGTGACTTAACGAGGCAAGAGAGGAAGTAGGGAGGCCAATGAGGAAGCTATGTTATAGCAGTCCAGTAGGTGACAGTGGCTAGAACCAGGATGGTAACAGAAAAGATGGAGAGAGGTAGCAGATTCAGGATATAAACTGGAATGTAACCAAAAGAATTTTCTGGTGGAGTGGACGGCAGTAGTGCAGTAGGGCGGAGAGAGTATGAAAAGGGAGTAACTAAGGATAACTCCAAGGTTGTGACTTGTTCAAATATATCTATGAGTTGGGGGTGACTAGCAGAGGTCCCAGTTTTAGGGAGAGGGACGAAGAATTTATTCTGGATGAGTAAATTTTCCCTAGGCTCAAGTCCTGCTAAGATTCCTCATTTCCATCTCACATCCAAGCAGTCCTCAAAGTCCCAAAATTTGAACTTCTAAATACCTAATCTATCAAATCTACCCTTCAACTTCAACTCCATATTCACTGCCTCTGTCCTGATTCAATCCTCTCCCTCGCTTTGACTTTTACAACAGCCTTCTCCAGCTATGAATAAACTAACAAAAGCACTTCACAGACATGTGAACCTCTCTCCCACCAGCCACCTCTGATGGCAGAAACCATGTCTTATTCATACTTATCTCCAGGGTCCAGTGCTGCGTGCTAGGCACAGAGTAGGCACTCAAATGTTTGGTGAACTGAAAAGAAGTTCTCCTCAAACAGGATATAACCTCCTGGAAGAGAAGAGCCCTATCTCGGGATTCTGTGATTCTCCCACACAACTTAAAGCAGAACCAGATATGAAATGTATGATCAAGTCCCAGAAACTTGGCCTTCCCAAGGGGTATGTTTCTTTCTAATTGAGTTTCAAACTGCCCTGTTTTAACCCAGTAGTTAATAACTGATATGGAACAACAGGTAACATATGTTATGACTCTTTTCTACTCTTCTTCCAAATCTAGGGACTTCATACCCTCATACTCTCACAACATCTTTGTAATGAGGTCAAGAGATAATTATTCTCCATTTCACAAATAAGAAAACTGAGGCACAGAATGAATACCTTCATCATTTTTTGATGAAGTTAGGTGCTTTGCTGGGTTAAGATCAGCCTTTCCCTGAGCCATACCACAGTTATGGAATTGGAAGATTTCCCAATCTTCCATCCCTGCAAGACTGCTGGTTAGTACTCAGGTGTTCCCTAGGTTTTGCCTCCACAGTTACAAGCTTCTTTGTCGTTTTTTTTTTCCTTAGTTCCCCGACCAGGGATCAAACCCAGGCCCCCTGCATTGGGAGCACAGAGTCTTAACCACTGGACCGTCAGGGAAGTCCCACAATTACACACTTCTTTGGATAGCAGGGTGTGTTGCCACAAGGTCAAAGACCATGTTCTCTCTTTCTCTTCTAATTACCACTCTCCTCAGTGCCTGGTGGAGACAGATTCCACCCCTTGGGCCCAGGAAAAAGAGAAGCACCCTGGTCGTTGGCCTGGGAGGTCAAGTAAGGTCAGGAGTCACACCAGCAAGAAGAGAGAGAGAGATCTAAGTAGGCAAGAATAGTTTCAATGGGAAAAAGGAGAGAGGAGTCACGATTAAGAAAATCAGCACACCCCTTTCAAAAGGCTTCCAGCTGGGGAGTACTTGGGAAGAGCCACGGCAGCGAAGGCAGAAGGCCAGATCCTTCCTGCTGTGCCCTCCCATGAGTCATTTCCTCAAGGCACCCAGGCTCTTCAGGGCCTCCTGGGCCTGCGTCAGCTGCTGCTGTAGCCTCTGGCGGGTGCTCTCATTGGAGGCCCGCTTGAGGAGGCCCTGCATTTCTTCCACCACTGCCCGGTAGCCAGGGGTGTTGTGGAAGAGCCGCACTGCGCGGTCTCCACAGGAGGCCAGAAGCCGGCCAGTGACGTCAAAGGACAAGTCACTGATACACTCCCCATGGACCTGCTCGAAGCACTCCTCCTTCTCACCCCGCCGGCTGTTATAGAGATGAATGCTGCTGCCACTGGCCAAAGCCAAAACCTGGGCGTCAGGCGAGAGTGCCAGGCGGCACGGCATGGTGCTTGCTTCTTCAAAACGGCCTGTCCTCAGCAAGTAGGGATCCTGCTGCTTCTTGTATTCCACATCTGTGTCCCACAGTTTCCACGTACCATCCTTGGAGACAGAGGCCATCCTGCAGCAGGGAAAGTCACGGCTCTAGCCCCAACACACCCTGGAGGGGAGGGCACTGGGACAGTGCTAGGGACGCCAGCTAGGAAGCCAACTCCACTGCTATGTCTACTTCCTGCTGCGGGCCAGGCACCCCCCCCCCCCAACTTCAGAGCCACTGCAGAGAATGGCAGAAGGATCCTGGATGCCAAGAGGGGCTGCAAGTCACGTGTAAGAAATCAGAGAGGAGTCACTCACCTCCGGGAGTCATTGGAGAAAGCGAAGAAGTGGACGGCTGCAGAGTGGCCCTTCAGTTCAAAGGCTCGCACAACCTCCTGGAAGTCCCCCTTTTTCCCAAAGCAGACTTCCCAAACTTTTACATCTGGGGTGAAGCCACACGAGGCCACAAACCTGCCATACAACCCAGGTTGCATTAAAACTTAATTTTAAGGGCATCTTTTTCTGCAAATCCGCCAAAACTTTTTCCTGAGAAAGTTAATTAATCTTGTGCCTAAAACGCTACCTTTGAAAACTGCTTTTATACATGACCTCAGTCCATCCTCACAGCCAGGCTGTAAGATACTTAGTACCCCCACCCCAACCTCTTAAAAACTATGGACGGAGAAATAGAGACTAAGGACTTGAATCTAGGTGTCCTGATTCCACACTGCCTGCCCCTTCTGCTCTCTGAAGCTGGCTCTCTGCTCTGTCCCCAGCCCCCCAGCCCCAACCTCTGCCCATGCCCGAGGCCAAAGTCCCTCCTTCCTCACCTGCTACAAGGGGATATAGCAGCAAATGTATTGTGCATCTGGTTGGTGTTGATGGTAGACAGCGCCTGACCTTTCAGATTCCAGATGATGATAGCTGTGTCACTGGAAGCAGTCATGATGAACTTCCCTGAAGGGCGAGGGGAGTGCCATGGGCTGAGGTCCATGACCTGATCGACTGACTTATGAAGGCATCTGCTGCCCAGTGTAATGTATCCACGCTTCCCTCCCAAGCCAAGGGTCACCACAGATAAGGATCTGGCTGAAGACTGTGGCTATTACCTGCCTCCCCCAGGGGACTTGCTGTGGCTCCCAGGACTCCAGGGGAGCCCAGAGCCAGGGCCCTTTTTGTCACACTGGGGTTAAGCATAACTCTTAGGCTGCATTCGCTCACTCAGTAAGTAAAACTGGGTCCATTCCCTCTTGCCTTGGGCAAGCTCCATCCTCTGAGTGCCTCACCTGTGTCAGCAATGCCAATGTTGACGATGGCTGCCTTGTGCTTTTTAGGAAAGTCCTCTGGGGTGGCTGTGAAAGTATAGCCCCCATCCTCTCGCTTGGTCATCTTGAAGACACGGAGGGTATCTCCGTTAGCCAGCCAGACGATGAATGCTCTAGAGACAGGAAGCAGACAAGTCTCTCACTCCTTTGGGCACGGAGACCTGTGTGTGCCAGGTCCTATGCTAGGCAGGCTCTGAGGAAAATCAAGATCTCCCTTCAGGACTTATAGTCCAGCCTCACAACTTAAACCCTTAGTTCAAAATCTCTTAAAACTCCTTACAAGGTAAGCCTCTCATAGCTCTGGCTCCTTTAGCTTCTCTCTAGGATTCAGAAAACCATTAGAGCTTCCAAGACTACTCTGGCAGTCAGGCTTTGGTACTTCCCAAGGAGGAAGAGATCTTCCCCTCTCTGCTTCCTTGCTATGTAGCTCCATAGCCCTCCAAGGAGCCTCAGGCGGTGTTCAAGCTGTCTGGATGTTCCCTTTCTGCCACCTCAAGGGAGACCCTGGGTCCCCCCTCACCACCCTAAACAAGGTATGGGAAGGACATAAGCTTGGGTCAGGGCTTCTGCAGGCAAACCTGGGGCTCCATCCTGTCCCACCTGCAGTCAGGGCTGAAGCGCACCAGGATGGCATGGTCCAGCTCCACATTTGCTCTCATGCTGCGGTGCTCCCGCTGCAGGAAGTCCTTGGTGCTCCAGATGCGGACAGTACGGTCATCTGCACAGGTGGCCAGGTACTTGCCATTGCTGCTAAAGTCCATGCAAGATATGTTCCCACTGTGGCTCTAGGGGAAGGGTTGCAGCAAGTATGAACAGGAACCCCTTGGGCAAATGGGGAAACCCATGCAGCCATGATTCTGGAGCCCTGTTGCTTAGATTAACAGCAAGCTGCTAATGGGATGTGATGAGAAGGGATAGGATGGGGCATCCCCACTGATTTTGGTCAGAGGCAGAGGGGTCTGTAACATGCACAGAATACTACAAAGGAAAAGTCTACGGGGGTGTGGGTCTCTGTATACATGTCCTGTGCATGGGCACCATGTACCTTCAGTGTTGCAGCCAGGAGGCGGTGGGTGAAGTTGTGTTGCTGAGGCTTTTCCTTGTGAATCCGCTGATGTTGTTTCTGCTTCTTGGATCTCAAGGACTTGTCAGGTGGAAGTCCATTTGCTCTTTGGCCTATAAGGAAGGCCCATGTCATTCGTCCATTCACCACTCAATAAGCACTTACTGACCACCTATGATTGGCACTGAACAGAGGCACAAGAGATGACCAGATATGGCCCCTGTCCTCAAGAAGAGAGGGATATGGGAAAAAAACAGAGGCTTTGTGGAATCAGACCTGGGTTTGCATTGCATCTCTACCACTGAGTGATCCTGAGGAGGCTGCCTGCTGTTAGTGTATATAACATAACCGTATAGCACCTCGTTGCACATCAGAAGAGGCGCCCTCTCTGGGCAGGCACAGCTCAGCAAGTACACAGAATGGCCAGTGGAATGCAGATTCTTGGCCAGACATCTCTAAGTGGGGGATAATGTGCACACCGGAATCCAGTGACCCTGATCTCAGGTAATTGCCCTGGGCCTTGGTTTTCTAAAAGAGAAGTTGAGAATTGGGTAAGATGATATATACAAAATGACAAGCACAGTACCCAACACAACCACTAAAGGGCTCAAAGGAATCCCAGAGAGAACCCAGAGGTGAGAGGTAGCTGACGTGAGTTGAGTACATCCCGGGGGCTGGAAATGGTGCCAGTCATTTTTGTATCAAATAGCTAACTTAATTGAAAATCAGGCCAGGAGCAAAGCTGGCATATGTTAGATCGCTACAGATGCTCCTCAATCCCTACAGGAAGAAAGCTCCGAGGCCACATACAAAGACAAATCTGCCTGCCCTCCGCTTGCCTCTCCAGCCTTGTCTAACAAGCCCTCCCCTCTCCCCTCCCACTACAGTCAAACCAAATGCTGTTCCAGGCCTCCTTGGCTTCACGCATGTTGCCATTGCCAGGAATATTCGCCCTCTCTTGGCCCCCTGGCAAACTCTTACACGTCTATCCTTCAAGACCCCACGTCAAGTGTTCCCTACTTGACACCCCCCCGCCCACCGACAAACGCAGGGCTGACCACTCCCACCTTTGGGTTTCCTGTGTCTAGTACTGACCTTCCTATGAAACCTACTACACTATATTTTTCCCTTACAGTTTCACCTGTTCTTTTTTACCCGACACTGGACTCCCTAAAGGAAAAGACCCCGAAGCCTACAGGAGGTAGCAGGTACTCAATAAATGCTGCATGTCGGGGAACCAGAGCGTTCACAAACGAATGTCCGTCCCCTCCTCCCCGTTTTCAGAAAATAACGAACAAGGAGCGCGCCAGAGAGTTTCCTAGCGTCCCCGCAGCAGCCCCGGGGAGAAGCTCAGGCTCCGAGGGCAGGCGGCTTAGCCTCGGCCACGGAGAGCTCGGTAGCGCGGGGCCTAGGTTCTAACAGGTCGTCCCAAAGTGAAACTGATGTCCCAAGAGGAGAAACTGAGGCCGGAGGGAGGGCGGGATCTCTGGCATCCCCGCAGGCCCAAACGGCCGGTCGGACCCCGGGGAGGCCGGGAGCGACAGGTCCGGTAGTTCGCCCCCACGCGCCCCCGCCCCACTAACCTGCCGACCGGCCGCACGTCTCCTGCTCCGCGCGCAGCCACCCCCGCGCTACCGCCGCCGTCGCTATCAGGGCCAGCAGCCCGAGCAACAGCGACAGCCCCATCAACTCCGGCATCTGCAGCAGCTCCATGTCGGCAGAGTCGCTGCCACCTCAGCCTCTGGCCTCGCGAGGGCCTGCACGTCTCCGCAGGGCGGTGCACGCACGCGGGGCGGGGCCTGGCCGTTAGTGCGTCCCGAGGGGCGCGGCCTGGTCTTTGGCCCGTCTAGGGGGCGGGGCCTGTTGTTGGAGCGTCCCGAGGGGCGGGGCCTGACCGTCGGGCATCCGGAAGGACGCGGCCTGGCTATTTAAGTTCGTCTGGCCATTGAGGCTGTGTGGCCTCACAGGGTAGGGGGCAGGTGATGCAGCCTCTGCTCAGGCCTCCCCTTGAAGAATTTACTGATAATCGTTATTAAAGGCGTTATTCCAGTCGTCATCACATTGGATCCTTTCAAGGAGCCATGGGACCTATTATTACTCCCATTCAACAGGTGGGAAAGTCTTCTTAGTATCAGGGGAAATTCAGATGGGCTTTTACTGTTAATGGAGAAGGGAAAGGGTATTTCTGGAATTAGGAGGTGGGACAGCCTCCTCCTCCTGAGCAGGAGGATGCTGTGTGGAGGCAGGGCATGAGCAAAATAAAAAGTAGCAGGTAAGGGAGTTCCCTGGCATCCCAGTGGTTAGGACTCCACGTTTCCATTGCAGGGGGCACAGGTTCAATCCCTGGTCGGAGAACTAAGAGTCCGCAAGCCTCACGGCATGGGCCAAAAAAAAAAAAAGTAGCAGGTAAGATTGGAAAGGTCTGGAGGGCCTTGAGTGCCAGCTCAATCCAGCAAACAGAGAGTAGATTCTGGTGGTTATTTCAGGGTGATATAGCTCAAAATCGGGGTCTTGGAGATTCTTTGGATGGACTAGTGTGTGCCAAGACCAAAGACAGAAGGAAAACCAAGAGGTGGTTGCAAGGGTTCAAGAGGGAGGTGATAAGAGCCTGGACTCGGGGTGGCCTGGGGATAGAAAGGAAGTTGAAAAGGTGATTTTAAACAAGACACTTTTAATTTTGAAATAATTATAGATTCACAGGTAGTTGGGAAAAAAAATGAAGAGGAAGGTTCCATGTATCCTTTACCCAGGTTCCCCCAATGGTAACATCTTGCATAACTATAGTGCAATATCAAAACCAGGAAATTGGCATTAATACAATCTACAGAGTTTATTCACCAAAAAAAGAGATATTCTGAAAGACTAGTGATAGAATTTGGAGCAGACTAGCTGGAGAGGGAATATTCCCAGAACAAGCATGCTCCGTGGGCCTCCCAGGCCCACAACCCAGAGCGAGTCGAAATGCCAGGGTCAGGGATGCCAGATTCAAACGTTTCCATGGCCACCAGGGAGCCCTTCCTGGCAGTGCAGGTCCTCTGGCCTTTAGAAGGATCCTATGAGGACAGAGGCTGCTGCAGAGACTAGATGACAGACGGACTCACCCACAACCTCGGGTGAGGAGACAGATCCAGTCAGAGAGCAAGTGAAGTGGCCTCATTTCCTTCCCTTTTGTCCTTGGTGAGGGGAGAAGGGGAGACTGGCATTGACTCAGCTGTGGGCAGGGGGGTGGAGAGGGCTAGGAGGGGGTGTCCAGAGCATTCTGGGGCTTTTCCTCCTTAATTTGCTATTTAGAACTGAAGGCCCAGCCATGAACCACTTTCTCCTAGAGACAAAGGGGTACGTTTCAGAATTTCATTCACCAAGCATTTTGCAGGTGACATTTACTGATCCAGGAGCTTTGCATTTCATTTAACCTTCTCACGTTCCCACCCCACAGATTAGGGGACTGATGCTCTAGGAGATGCTCATTAAGTGATTTTCCAGAGGTGACACAGATAAAGAGTGAACCTGGGAACACGTGCAGGTCTGTGACTCCAGTCTATCGATGTGGGGGACAAGCAAGAGTAGGGCTACGGCTCAGCTGAGACTACCAGATTCTTTTACATTGTAAGTTCAGTTGATCTTTATAGTGGTCTTTAAGACAAGTGAGGCCATGAAATAACTTTAACCAAACCAAAAAAACCCACACAACTAGGCTCAGGTCAAGTAACTTACCCAAGGTCAACAAGGAAGCCAGGGATAGAACCAGAGTCAAACTGGGGTCTGCTACACTCCAAGATCCTTATCCTTTCCACCTTGCCACTGGGCTGTGGTAAGGGCCTTGCTCTTACCCTCAAGTTCTTACAACCCAGCTGGAATCCAAGGCTAACACTCAGAAGGACGTTAGTAATGACAGAAGAGGGGAAAACTGGGCAGGTCAGGGAGGGAGATCTGCCGATGGATTTTGAGGGGCAGTGAGATTCAGCTGTACCTTCAGGGGTGGGCATTTAGACAGGGGAGACAGAGGGTAAAAGGGAATTCTAGGAGGGAAAGGAAAGCATGAGCAAAGGTGTGGCTGGAGGGATAGCAGGGCTCAGTCGCAAAGCACCTTGACCATCTGCTAGAAACCTGGCCTCATCAGAGGCAAGCAAGAGCCAGAGAAGCAATGGAAGCACAACTTCAATTTGCAATTGAAGATTCACCTTGTACTGATTGGAGCCTCTCTACCTCTGGCTTCTGTGTTAGGTAAAATGATGCATTTCCTCATTGGTTAAGCAGTGGTTCTCAAAGTGTGGGCCCTGGACCAGCATCATTAAAAATGCAAATTCTTAGACTTCATCCCATATCTGCCGAGTCAGACATTCTGGAGGTGGAGGCCTGGCAATCTGTATTTTAACAAGCTTACTAAGTGATTCTGATGTACGCTAAAGTGTAAGAGCCAATGCTTTAAACTAACTTGAGCCCCAGATGTAGGTTATTTGCAGCTCAAAGCCTCCATTACAGTGGTTCTTAACCTTGAACGCATATTGGAATCACCTTTAAAAATGCTTATGTCTAATTCCCACAGACAGGGATTCTGATTTAATTGGCCTAGACTAGACCTGCTCAAGAAGATTTTTAAAAGGCCCAAGTTATTCAAATGTACTTTTAAGTTTGAGTTGTAGCTATAAGGGATACGAGAGGCTAATGTAAGAGTCTACATAAAATATCAATTCTGGACTTCCCTGGTGGCATGGTGGTTAAGAATCCACCTGCCATTGTAGGGGACACAGGTTTGAGCCCTAGTCTGGGAAGATCCCACATGCCGCAGAGCAACTAAGCCCATGTGCTACAACTACTGAGCCCGCATGCCGCAACTACTGAAGCCCGTGCACCTAGAGCCTGTGCTCCGCAACAAGAGAAGCCACCAGAATGAGAAGCCCGCACACCGCAACGAAGAGTAGCCCCTGCTCACCGCAACTAGAGAAAGCCTGTGCACACCAATGAAGACCCAATGCAACCAAAAAAACAACCAAAAAAACAAAAACAAAAAACAAACAGAAAAACAGAACAAAAAAAAGTGATATTCTGTCAGGTGGCCATGTGTATGGATGCTTATGAGGTCAACTTGAGACAAGAGGGAAGGGAGCAGGGCACAACCATTAAAAGGATGACATAGCCATTGAGGATACAACAAAAACTGCTTAGAACCAACTAGACCCAAGATGGCGGAAGATTTAACTTCCAGTAGACCTTGAGCCTCACTATATGCTCATTTTAACACGTTAGCATATACTAAATGACACACTCCCAGGCACCGTGACAGTTCTAAGGCCAAGCATAAAAGGCCAAACAGTGGGCAGTGGTCCAATTCCTGGAAATCTCTGCCCCTTTCCCAAAATAGTTGGAATAAACCTCCCACTCGTTAGCCTATAAAGTTACCCAGCCCATAAAAACTAACCACCCCATATTTCGGGGTGCTCTCATTTTCTGAGACGACCCCATGCCCTGGGGCTGCTCTTGCCTTCCGAGACGGACCACATTCTGCCTATGGAATGTGTATCTCTCTCAATAAACCTGTTTTCACTTTACTATGGCTCGCTCTTGAATTCTTTCCTGTGCGAAGCCAAGGACCCTCACTTGGTGACCCATCCCAGGGACTCACCTGTGACCTGGGACATGACCATTCTCTCCTGCAACAAACTGGCCAGGCCTCGGCAACACACCACAGGGCAGTGGGGTATAGGGGAGAGCCAAAGATGACTGTTCCTGTTGGCACAAGTGTCTGGATGGTGGTACCCTTCCTGGGCATGGGGAACATGGAAAGGTTCAGGTTGGAGGGGGAAGAATGTGAGCTATAGTCTTGGAAATGATGAGTTCTGTTTTGGCTCCTTCAGGGTTAAGGGAGCTGTGGAACATTCAGAGGGGGACGTCAGGGCGGCAGTCAGATATGTGGTTGTGTCCCTCTGGGGAGAGGGCAGCGCAGATACAGAATAGGGAGACCTCAGCAGAGAGGCTGAAGCGGATGGCGGTGTCCAGGGCTTGCCATAGGGTGAGAAGGGCAGTGGGCCGAGGAAGAGGCTCCCACAGCAGGGACTGGGGAGGCACTGCCAGGGAGGTGGAGAGCCTGGCGAGAATTCTGGATCTGCAGGGAAAGAGTGATTCAAGAAGGAGGTCTGAAGGCCCAGGAGAACTGTGAAGTGGTTGTTGGATTTGGCAATAAGGGAGCCAAGTGACCTTGGAGAGAGCAGAGTCTGTGCAGGGGTGAGGCTGGGGAGGAAGGGGGGAGGAAGGAGGAGCCCAAAGGCAGGGGGCTGGGGGCAGATGGGAGGGGAAGGAGGGAAGGCAGGTGTAGACGGCTCTCTTAAGGGAAGGTGGCCTCTAGAGTGGGACACGGGGTCAAGGGGATGTCTTATGGGGACCTTCCTGGCAGGATGAGTGGGTGAAAACAGCAGAACACAAACGGCCAGGAATTTACCTTTCAGAGACCCTCTTCAAGCCTTTGTCTGCAGCAGCAAATACCACCTAAAGGCTGGGTACATCTGTCACCTGCATGGTAAAAAGTGGCTAAAAGCAGAAACTCTGAAGTAAGACAGTCTGGGTGGGCACCTCAAAAACTGTGCAAACTGGGCTTCCGGGGTGGCGCAGTGGTTGAGAGTCCGCCTGCCGATGCAGGGGACGCGGGTTCGTGCCCCGGTCCGGGAAGATCTGACATGCCGTGGAGTGGCTGGGCCTGTGAGCCATGGCCGCTGAGCCTGCGCGTCCGGAGCCTGTGCTCCGCAACGGGAGAGGCCACAGCAGTGAGAAGCCCATGTACCGCAAAAAAAAAAAAAACAAAAAAAAAACCAGGAAAAAAACTGTGCAAACTTGGGCTAGTTAACCTCTCTCTGTCTCAATTTTTCATCTGTGAAATGGGGACAATAGTAATCGTTATGATAACTCTTCCATCGCGTTATATGCCACGCACTGTTGTAAGTGCTTTATGAATAGTTACTCTTCAATTCTCACCGCAGGCCTATAGAGGCAGGTGTGGAGAGGATTAGTGGGTGAATATAAATAAAGTGCCTAGAATCGTGCTTGGCACGTGGTAAACACTAGATGACGGTGCAGTTACTCATGTTATCGTTATTATTATTCTACATGACTAAGGGAAAGTCAAAGCCCCCAGAAGACCGGCTCCTGTTTCTAGCCTGCAAATGTCTCCCCAAACGTCTCCAGAGGTTTCTGAGCACGTGAGAGGGCTTGGACTCGCCAGGCCTGAATGTAAGCTCCACGAGGAGAGGGGTGCAGCGGTGAACAGATTCCCCAGGGCCAAGACCATAGCTTGGTCTGTGGTAGGCCCTCAGGAAATATTTGTTAAATGAATCAATGAAAGGGAATTCTCCAGCGGTCCAGTGGTTAGGACTTGGCACTTTCACTGCAGGGGGCACGGGTTCAATTCCTGGTCGGGGAACTAAGATCGCACAAGCCGAGCGGTGCAGCCAAAAATGAAAATTAAAAAAAGGGTCGACGAAGTATTGGGGCCATTTGCCCCAACTTCCAATCTGCAGTATCAGTTCCTTCTAAGACATCCCGACCTGGTGGCCACCCACCCTCTGCTTGCACATCTCACGCAGTGAGGCCGTCACTACCTGCTAAGGCAACGTCCTCCTTCTGCATGGTTTGGATGGAAGGCCCTGTCACTTCCACTCTGGGATCCCGGCTCTGCCCTCCTCCAACGTAGAAGGTGGTGAGCCTCTCTGAACCTCTCCCTGGCCATAGAGGATTTCCAGGCTGAGTGTCTGTCATCTCTCCCTTGACTCCCTGTGGCCTATTCACAACTCAGCCCCCAGAGGGATCCTGTTAAGAAGCTCTGTCTGATCTTCTTTCACCTCCACTCAAAATCCTCCAGGAGCTTCCAGCTCAGAGGACAAGCTAAGGTCCCTTCATGGCCAGCGAGGCCCTCTACAAGGCCACCTCCCACTGCAAACCGCTCTCTTTCCATCCCAGAGTGAGAAACTCTGACAGTCCCTGACAGTTTCTGTTTTTATTGGTCAAGAATTCTTTACAAAATCCACACACACTCATCCACACACATACCAGATGCCTCCCCTGGCTTGGCCACCCCCTGCCCTGCTCTCTCCTGGGATCAGACCTTCCTGGCTTTACTCAGGGATGCCATCCTGCAGCCCGTCCAGGCTACCAGTGGAGGAGCAGAGAGAAGGAACCTCCTTTTCTCCTTCCCGGCTTAGAAACAGAAGCCTGTGCCTGACCTGTGGGTGGAGCAGGTGGGAGTGACAAGGAAGCATCGTCCCCTTCCCTCTTTCAAACTCCCCGAGTTGCCAGCTTAGGCCCCCAAGCGCCACAGCTGCTAAGGCCTTGGGATCCTCTTCTACTTGAAGCTTCCCCGTCCCCATTTTGCAGACTGGAGAATGGAGGTCCAAAGAGGGAGGATGATCTCCCCAGGTCACAGCATTGTTGCTATAGTAGAGCAGGGACTGGAACTCAGTTCTTCCCGGTTCCCAGGAGATCAGAAGAAACCCTGCTTGACAGCCGGGACCCGGAGCAGAAGGGGAGTGCCCAGGGAGAGCAGCCCCAGGGCAGCTGAGTGAGCAGCACGGTCCGGCCAGCACTATACAGATTTGCCAAGGGTGCCCTCTGTGACTGCCCGTGTGGCTTGCTCGGGTATACAGTCCGGGTCCGTCAGGATACTGGTAGATGTACTCAGCTGGCGTAGGGAGTTCAGAACAGCTGGGAAGAGAGAGAGAGAGAGGGAGAGACACTTTCTGGGGTCAGGGCCCTACCCTTGGATGCTGAAGACAAAGGGATCGGGGGAGGTACTAGTTAGCAAGACTGTCAGTCAGCCCCTCCTAGGATCTCTGTCGGCAGATGTCCTGGTGGCCCATCTGGGGGCATGGTGGGGATGGACAAAACCCTAGGCCACAGTGAAGACAGGCTGGACCTGGGGTCTGAGTAGGGTGGAACCCCCTGCCCTGAGGCTTGGCAGGTGGCTCACGTACTTGGTCGGAGAGCAGGCAGGGAGCAGTACTGGTCCAGCCAGGCCAGTGAGGTCTGGCGGAGGCTCTGCAGGCTTGCCGTAGACACCATCCCATTGAAGGATTCGAACAGAGGCCGGATGAGGATGCTGAACTGGACCCAGGTCAAGGAGCAGTTCTGTCATCCAGCTGGTACCCTCACGCATTTCACATGTAGCCCTGACATCTGGCCGCTGTCCAGCCTTGAACCCTAAGGACTCCTACTGTAGCCGCCCTCCCATAGACTAAGGCCCTCCCAGCTCTCTGGCTCTCAGGCCCTTCCCCCAGCTCCTCCAGGACCTTCCTTCTGGGCTGGACTGTCCCCCATCCCTGGGCTTCCTGCCCTGGCTCAGTCAAGGGCTTGACCAGGTAAGGGAGTGAGAGATTCTATGTCTTCCCACAGGCCCACCCCAGTCATGTTACTCCAAGTTTAGGTTCTCCCAAACTGCCCCTGGGACTTTCTGAGGGCAGGGCTATGGTCCCCTCACCCAGGGGGCTCCCCCTCAGTTTCCCTCTGCTCCCAGCCCATCACTGGGTAATGCTGCTGGCCAAGATGCCAGGGGCCTTGAAGGAGGGGATAGAATCAGAGCCCTTTCCTCTGGGATCAGCTCTGAGACCCTGCCTGGCCCGGGGAGCGGAGCCTGTGTCGGGCCCAGCCTGGTCCGGCTGCAGCGCTCACCCCGCCACTGGCCAAGTGAGGATACCACCCAGAACTTCCAGTTATGCAGTGTGCGGGTCCGGACGTAGTCATCGAACATGTCTCGCATTTGGTCGAACCGCTGGTGTGTGATGGGCACTCCCGTAGCAGGCAGCTGCTGCTGGCACAGGCTGGGGGCACGGGGCAGGTCAGGGCGGGGAGCCAGGCAGCAGGCCCCCTGGCCCAGCGCCTGCAGGGCCCCCCCACCCACTTGATGGCGGCATTGAGCGCCTCGATCTGGTCCCGGAGCTGCTGGGCCTCCTCCTGCTTGGCGGCTCGCTCCTGCTGCAGCATGGCGATGTACTCGGCTGTCTTCTGCAGCGTGGTGGCTTTGCTCATCTACGGCAGCACCGTAGGGCTGGGCTCAGGGACTGGGGGTCCCCCACCCTGGGTCCCACTGAGGCACTGGGATGGGAGGAGGCAACCGGGTGTGTGGAGGGCCCTGGGGTGTTCCACGATGGGGCCCTGGGGCTCGGGGGTGCCAGCCTGTGCTGGAGACGCACCTTGAGGTTGGGCTGGGTGCTGAGCGTGCTCACCAACCCGTGCAGAGTGTCAAACCCCAGCTTGATGTTGAAGCGCCGCTTCTGCTCCGCAGAGATGTGTGTGATGCGCCGGTTTTCGGTCTGAGGGGGCAGAAGGCGGGGTGAGCCTAGGAGGGGGCGTGGGAGGGCCTGTGGGGAGCAAACAGACCTTAGGGTGAGAAATGGTGCCACCTTGTTGTCCGGATGGCCCCGGCTTAGGATGCGTTGAGGGGAAGAGATGCACATGCTCAGAGTCCCCGGGCCCGGCAGGGAGTTGAGCTCCCCAGACAGCCGCCGCTCACCACCTGTGTCAGAGACAGACAGACCCACAGACAGACCAACACAGGGGAGAGGGTCCCATTTCCCTGGCCCTCTCATCCTGGCCCCAGATGTAGTCCCCCCTTCTTCCTTCCCTTCCCTCCCTCCCGCAGAGCTCCCCGATCCCTGCAACCCCTCTTTACCGCTGGGTGCTGGGGGCGAGAGCCGCTCCGCTTTGGGGACAATCAGGGGCCTGGGAGGGGCCAATGTGGCTGGACCCGGAGGTGGTCGGGGCGGTGTAGGGGCCGGGGTCGGGGGAAAGAAGGTGCAGGGGAACTCGGGGGCTATCTCCTGCTGGGGTGGAGAAGGGCAGAGAGTCGGGGTGAAGCCCCGGGGTTCACCGCCACCTCCCAGTGCCCGCCATCTTACCGGGGACCCTGGGGACCGGAGGAGGGCGCTGGACACAAGCGCAGGTTCCAGGGCTTGCTCAGGCTTGGCTGTGCACAGACAGAACTGTGAGGGCTGCTGGGGCCCCCATCCCATCATCTCCCAAGACCCCGTCCCTCCCCTCCTCACTGCCCACACCGCTTTTGGGTTCAGGGCCCAGGTCCCTCATTCCTTGCCACCTGCCCTCCGGCTGAGCCTGCCCCTTAGCCTCCACCCTCTAATCCCACAGGCTCCCTGCTCCGCATCTGGTCTCGGCATCTGGTCTCCACGTCCCCTTCCCAGCTCACCTGCTGTGAGCAGCTGTGCGAGGCAAGGATTGTTGCCCCCGGCAGTGGCAGGGGCCAAGGTGGGGGGGCTGGGCCTCTGCCCCCTGGGGGACTGGGTAGGGGGCTTGCCTCTGGGCCGCGTGCCTTGGGGCACGGTGAAGTGAGGCCCCAATGGGGGCTCCGAATACCCCGAGGGTAGAAGGTCTAAGGGGAAGGGGGCGGGGGCAGGGCCTGGACCCAGCTGGGGGGTGGGTGCGAAGGCCGTGGGAGCAGACGGTGGGGACACTCCCGGGGCAGGAGGGACAGGAGGGAAAGAGAATCTGGGAGAGAAGACAGGCTCTTCCTGCAGCATAGCAGGCAGTGGAGCCATGGGAGGGAAAGGGGGTGGGGCACAGGGCTCCAGGCCAAGCCCCTTGGCAGGGCTGGGGTATTGGAGGAGGGGTGGGCGTGTGGGAGTGGGTGGGAGCTTGGGCTTGGGGTCTTCAGGAAGCAGGAAATCAGAGCTCAGGAAGGCACTGGAGTCCAGAGGGCCAGGGCAGCTGCTCCGAGCCTGGTTGGGGGACAAAGAGCAGGGGAGAGAGCTAGGCTTTCTGAGGCCTCCCAGGCAGCCTCTTGCCCTGCCTGAGCTCTGGACTGGGCACTGGGAGAGTTGGGAGAAATGGTCCCTGGCCTCAGACACACACCCCAGGAAAATTATAATCTAATGAGGGGAAAGAGTGGAACCCATTTATGCACAAATTAGGCATGAGAAAGAGCATCAATCTTCCTGCCTGCCCATTCGTTCACCAAATAACTTACCAACCCATCCATCCATATCCATCCATCCATCCTCCATCCATTCACCTACCTATCTGTTCTCTCATCTATGAGCTAGCTCATCTACCTATATTTCTACCAGCCTACCAGGTATTAACCCATTCACCAATCCATCCAACCACCTATACTTCCTTCACTCACCCACCAACCCACCCATAGTCCATCCATCTATCCACCATCTGTATATTCACCAGCCGCACATCCATCCACCAGCCCATTTATTGATCCACCAAACTACTTACTCATTTACAAATTCATCCACCAGCCCATCCATCCAACCAACCACTCACCTACCTATATGTATATACCAACCTGTAAGCATCCACCCCCATCTACAACCCAGTGATCTATTCTCCAACACACCCATCCATCCACACACTCACTTGCTCACCAGTGCCGTTAATGTGCTTGAACTGTGCTAAGTATGAGAAGATGCAGCGGTGAGTAAAGCATAGCCCTTCCAGCAAGGAGCTCACAGTCTAGTCAAGGAGAGAGACCTCTCAAACAATGAACTATGCTAGTGCCTGAGAAGTCTGATAACGGAGGGAAAAGGCAACTATCCTAGCATCATGGGGGCAACATCTGAAGTGGGCCTGGGAGTTCCTGAACCAAAATGATGGAGTCACTGCTTCCTAAACGCACACGCTCAGCTTCGGCCTCCATGCTTCCGTTCCTGCTTCTCCTCCCCTCTACTGGTCTCTTCTTCTGCCCAAACCCAAGTCATTCATTAAGGCCCAGAACTCCCCCCTCTTCCAGGAAGTCTTCCACAAGCAGCCCAGCTCCACGCTCCTCTGTCCTCAGGCTCCCCCCCAACCATCTTGTCAGTTCTGCTTCACGAGGGTCTTTCCTCCCCAGCTGAACGGTGCCCTCCTGGAGGCCACAGATGGGGTCTTTCTCCCCCTCCAGTCTCTCTTGTTGGACTGAGCATACTCAGGAAGTACCCTGAATACCTCCGGGGTGTGGGCAGGTGAGCTGGGCAGGGTGAGCTCACCTGCAGGCGGTTGTGTCCCGAGAGGTGGGTCATGCCCGAGCAGGCAGAGGGCACCTCTGAGCCCAGGATCCCACTGCTGAGGACAGGGTCAACCATGGGGCTGAAGCTGGGGGGCTCCAGGAAGCTTGAGGGTGTAGGTGTCTGTGGGGGGCGGTAGTTGGTGAAGAAATCTGTAATTCAGACACACAGGGTGGCAGCTGTCAGGGCTAAGGCCGCGGCTGGAAGCAGCGGGCTGGCCCTGTCCCCAGGCTGGGCTGGCAGTGGGGTGGGGGCCGGCGAGGGAGGGGGCGCCTTCCACAGGAGATTGTGAAACTGGGAGAGTTTCTGTCTCACTCAGGGGAAGCCACAGCAGAGGCTCTGGTGGGATGGGCCTGAGTGGGAGACAGCAGAGGGATGTGCGGGGGTGTCAGTGGGACACCCCAGGAAGCAGCCTTCCCACCGAGCCCCAAAACTGGCTCCAGAGGCCCCCCTTCCCCACCCCCAGCCTGGGAATCCCAGGCCTTGTCTGCTTCTGTTACCAGCTCTGCTGGGGACGTGGCGGGGCGGGGTGGTACTGGTACTGGAGACTACCGGGGAGGGAAAGGGTGGGGTCCAAGGGGAGGAGGTCTAGGATGGGGAAAAGGGCATCATGGCGTCAGGAGTTCACGGAGTGAGTTAGGGGTGAGAGGGGTCAGAAGGTCAGTGGGTCTGGGACAAGTTGGGTTTGCTGGAAGGTCAATGGGTAGGGCTACAAGGACAGAGCTCAGGAGTGTGGGTGAAGGGACTAAGGGGGGTCAGAGCAGGGGTCAGAGGGTGGGCTCAGAGCAGGGGCAGGAGTGAGGGGGTGCTGGAAGGCCTGGAAGAGCTGGCGGGGAGCGGGGCAGCCAGATTGTTTGAGGTGCGGGTTGTGTAAGCCCCAGGCTATTCTGGTTTTGGGAAGCAGCTGCCTGGGGCCTAACCACATCCCGGGCCTGGGTGCGCCTGCCCGCCCGCTCCCTTCCGGGCACCTTTCTCTGACCCTGAGCAGCCTCCTGTCTGCACCAGCTCCCAAGGCCTCCTGGTCTGTCAGACGCGACCCCACTGGCCTTGGATGGACCCCAGCCCCCTGACCAAGACAGGTGGTCAGGCCTTTCTCCCGGGGGCCCCCTCGAAGGAAACTCAGGAGTGGGATAAGCCAGCACCAAACCTCGAGGCTGACCGGGTCTTATTTGTGCATCTCATGTGACTGGGGGCCCGTGTGCTGCTGGATGGCCGGCTCTGCGTGTGTCAGTCTCACGTAGCACCTGTCTGTCTGCCTCCCTGTGTGTCGGTCCCGCTGTCTGGAGCTCTGTCTGAGTCCGTGTGCACCTGCCCTGGTGTGAGGTGCTCAGTGTGTACATGTCTGCCCTGCGCCCACGTCTGTGTGTGTCTGTGTGTCCTTCTCGGCCACAAGGTCCGAAGGGATCTTCTTGCTGTCCTCCTGCCTCCCTTCCACAGAAGGACTGGGCGGCAGCGGGTGAGCGGCTGCCGATCCTCCACCCCCAGCCCCCAGGGACCACAGGCCTCATCACGTAGCCCCGGGATGCTCAGGGCCACAGAACAGCTGCTGCTCACCGTGCCGCCCACTCCCCAGAACCCGGTGGGGCTCACAGAGCAGCAAGCCCAGCCCAGCCTGAGTCACCACGTCCCCTCACCACGGCGTGTCCCCACCCCACACCCGCAGGAGGTACTTCCGAGTCCCAGCCACCCGCGGAGCCCTCCCACCCTGTCGCCCCCACTGACCTGCCATCCCCTGGCTGAGCCCCTCCCCCGCCCAGTGCTTCCCCGAGTGGCCCTCAGCCAGCCTCTCCCTGCTCCCTGAGCCCCTCCACCAAGCCCCCTCCCTCCACAGAGTTATGGCCCCCTCACTAGGTTTCCTCTCAAGTGAGGAGCTCTTGGGGACCAAGCGGCAGCCCTGACGGCCCTGGCGCTCCCTGCCCTCCCAGTTCACGGGGCGCTTAAGGGGGCCACACTAGCCACCTCCCCTGTGCGACCCACACCCCCTACCGTAGGTTGCCCTCGCTGGCCCCCACTCTGGCAGCCACCCTGCGCTGAGAGAAGTCGCTTCCCAGCCCCGGTCGATCAGGTTTTGCCCAGAGCCCGGGTTTGGGGGGCAGCGGCTGGGCTCCTACCTGTGGCAGGGGTCTGTGTGCCCAGACGGGGCTGCTGCCCTCCCAGGCTGGTCTGCTCCCAGGGCACTGCCATCAACACTGCTGTCCCCGCAGCCCCCAGCCCCCACCCAGGCAGGCATGGGGGTGGTTCCTCATTCCCTCGTCCCCGCCCCATAGGCTTCCACCTCTTAACTGACAGGCCCAGGACCCTGCCAGTCAGGAAGGAGTGGAGGGGTCACCCAATGCAAGCCTTTATCCCAGGAACCCCCTTTCTGCACCCAAGGCCTCAGCTGAGACAGGCTGAGCCTCCACGTCTGACCCCCAGCACGGCTCCGGAGCCCCCTAAGTGTGTGGCTATCAGCAGCAGTCTCCAAGGTCTACAGCTAAGTGAAGAAAGCAATGCGAGAAACAGGCTGCTACAGAGACAAGAAGAGACATTGGTCCACATGTGCTATATAGACACGATATCTCTGGAGGGACATGAGAAAGCAGCAACTGGTGGCCCTGGGGTTCAGGAGAGGGAGCCAGGGCCAAGGGCTACTTTAAAGGGCTACTTTAAAGAATGCTTTGTAAGATATGATTCCTGGGATTTTCTTAAAAATAACATAGGAGGGGAGAATTGGGTGAGGTCTAGATGAGATAAGAATGGCCAAGAGTTGATAAATGTTGACGTTGGTGAGATTCCATGAGGGTCAGTGAACTCCTCTCTCTCCCTACCTGTGTGTATGCTTGAAATGTTCTTTAATAAATAGTTTTTTAATGAATTATATAAATACTGATAAATAGACCCAAACAAAGGAGAGCCATCAAAGACCCTCTCTCCCCTGAGAGAGTCCCAGCATCTACTGCTCTCCTGGGAACTCCCCAGAGCCTGCAGCTTCAACGCTCCTGGTCCCCTGTCCCCTGCTAGGTACCCTGTCTGGCTTGCTCTCACCTGAGGCCACGGCACCTGCATCCCAAGGCCAGACAAAGGGAGACCAGGAAGATCCCTCAGAAATCACCCAGATCATCCGCCCTCCCAGAGGGGCCTGGGACTGGCCTGAGGTCTCAAGCGTACTGGGGCTTTCCTCTCACTGACCCTGACCATCCACTCACCCAGGAGGAGGGGCCTGCCCCACCTGAGATCTCCATGAAGTCATCCAGGCTGGGCTGCAGAGGCGTCAGGTCTGGCTGGATCATGTCAGCGTTGCCAACATAGGCTGGAGGGGGCAGTGGTGATGTCAGCAGCATCGGGCAGGGCGGAGTGGGGGCACCCATGCCTGACCATCCTCCCTTGGCTGCACGGATCCCCTCAGGCCTCCCTTTCCTGGCGCAGCCCCTCACCGTCCTCGGGGGGCAGCTGCAGGGGTGTAGGGCCGGGCTGAGTCATGGTGAAGAGTGTGTCGGAGATGTCGGACAGAAAGCAATCGAGATCCAGAAGCTGCCGCCCGCTGGTCTCCTCCTCTGGGCCCGCCAGCAGGACGGGCACCACGCTGGTGAAGAGCTGCTCGCACCATCGCTCCGGTGGCTGCCACCCCCCTTCCACCTGAGGAGACAGAGCTGTCAGCAGCCCCAGGTGGGCTCCACTGCCCTACTCCTTCCCAGTCTGGAGACACAGGGGTCTCCCACTGCCCCCTGCCTGGGGGATGAAGTGGTCAGCCATCCAGGGGGCCTCTCTGCATACAGCCCCTCCTCTCCTCTCTCTGGTGGACCCAGTTTGCTGCCTGAAAGGCTAGGGTCACCCCACTGGCCTCCAACAACTCCTCCCAGGAGAGAGGCTGGGGTGGCCTGCTGAAGAGATGAGGGTCCCTTCCTGCCCCTACACTTTTCCCTACCTGGGTCCCCAGTTCTTAGAGCCCCATGCTTCCCCACCACTTGCTTAGTGAACCAGAAGGCTTGGGGTCTTCCCACCACTGCGCTCCAATGCTGCCCTTCCCAAGAGAAGAAAAGCTCAATTAATCAACCAGAGGACACACCCACTCCACTCACGTCCCACCCTCACCCCACCACCACTGCCTCGCCCACCCAGAGGGAAGCATCCATTCTCTGGGTCCAGGGAGCACCCACCTGCTTTGGGGCCAGGAGATCCCCTTCCCTGCTGGACTTACGGAGCTGCAGGAACACACAAAGGTGGACACTGGATCCCCTTCCGCTCCTCCATCGCTCCCCGCCAAGGCCTCCCTACTCACTAGCTCCCCCAGATCAACCGGATCCCTCACTTCCCCTCAGAAGCTCTTTGGCCCTGGGAGGTAAGGAGGTTGCGAGGAGGCCCTGTGGCCACTGGGTGGCGCTGTCGGCCTGGGTCTTAATGGAGGACAGGGTCGGGGTTGGGGTTGTGGGGGAAGCCCTCCGGGGCTCTTGCAAGAGAGGCCGTGGCCAGAAGTCGCAGGGGAAAGGGCCCCCCACTGACCCGCTTCTTGTAGTAGATGCGCCACTTATGGTACTCGCGCATCACCACCTCGATGCGCCGCTTCCAATAATTCCCCTCCAAGACGACGGCCTGAGGAGGGCCGGATAGGGGACTCAGTGCGAGGGGTGGCACTGACCCCACCCCTCACCCAGTCTCCCTCTGGGCCAGCCCCTCCCGCTCAGCATGAGGAGTGATGGGCAGGAGGGGCCTGGCTTGGTGGGGCGGCAGGTGGTTGGTCCCGTGGTCTCAGCTACCTCCGGTTTCCGGTGCTCATCAGCCTCAGGCCCCTGCAGGGGGGTCACGAAGCCACACACGGGGCTCTTCCTCCGCTCCACATCTGAGAGAAGAGCGCCAGGTCAGGGGTGTCCAGCTCCCTCATCTCCCACTCCAAGGGGACTGGGACTCAAGTGCCACACTATGAAATCCTGCTTGGCCTTCCATGCTCTGTTTAAGTGCCACCTCCTCCAGGAAGCCTTGCTGCCTGCTCTAGCTCTCCCAGATCTCCCTCTTCTATGAGACCCTGTAAAACAAACCTCCCACACCCCATCTGCCCCCTTGGGAGCCTAGTAGGTGCGCAGGCAATGCTTGCTGAATGGCATTGTTGGGCCACACGAAGTTAATTGCCCCAAGAAGGTCCTGGTCAGGCTGGCGGGCTAGAGGTCCAGAGCCCTGGTCCCCTGCTTCAGGATACCCAATTCCATCTGAGAGCCACCGCTGGCCCACTTCAGGCCACCTGCCTGAGCCCTTTCTCTGCCTCCTCCACTCCCATCCCTGTCTTCAACCTTATCTCTCTCCAGGCTCCTTTTTGGCCTATAAACAAATTCCAGGCTCTCCTTTACCTCTCAAACCTTCCCCTTCCTTTGCTTCCCAACAAGCTAAATTTCTTCCCATCACCTCTTTGCTTTCCTCCCAGACTCTGGCAGACCTGTCACTCACCACGTCCACCTCTGCCCTCCCAGTTGCATTGTCACCTCCGGTACCTCAGCACCTGCCCGCACACCCACCCCGCTGGCCCAGCTCCTGAACTCAAGGCTCTGGCCCTCCGCAGTCCTGTCCTCCGAGACCTTGGCTGCAGGGCACCCTCCTCCTCCCTAAGCCCCAGGAACCTTCCCTCTGTTCTCCTACCTCCCTGACCACTTTTCACTGGCCTTTCTGCCTGGCCCACTCCCCCTAGCCTCTCTCACCCTGCTCCTTTCCAGTTTCAGACCCATCTTCCAGCTGCCTGGGGAACCTCCATTAGGAAGTCTCAAAACATCACTCTCAGACGTTTGGGAACTTCCCTCCCAAGCCCAAGCCTCCTCTGGACTGCCAACACTGCCTCCCAGTCTCCCAGCTCCCCACCGTCTCCCAGTGTCCCCATCTAATCCTTGGACTAACCCTCTCAATCCCAAGGGTGTGTGGCATTTCTTCCACCGTCCCCTCCCCTCCATATTCTCACTGTTCCCCCTGGTCTGGTGTCATTTCTCGCCTAGACCTCCCTGACTCCAGCCTCACGCTCTCCAGCCCATCTTCCTGCTGCGGCCAAGTCAATTCTTCCTAAAGGGCAGTACAGGCCTAAACCCCTCCATGGCTCCCTGAACCTCCAGGATAAAGCCCACACCCCTTAGCTTGGCTTCCAAGCCCTCCGGGACTGGCCCCACTGCTTCTCCTGCCTTTCCATTGCCTTCATATGACCCACCTTGAAGCCAGACCCTAACCACCCCCCCACAACAGCCCTCTGGTTTTATTCTATGTGGAATCCCCTTCCCTTCCCTCTGCCTCATCACGTCTGCCCTCCCATCAGAATAGCCTAGGGCTGCTCCCGTTCTAGGAAGCTTTCCCTTGTCTGAAACCCCATGGTCCCATGTGCCTCACTTTCCACCCTGCCTTGGCCATTTCTCTACATGCTGGCCTCTCCGTTGGGAGTGAAGGCAGAAGCTGTTGCTTTTAGCCCCAAATCCTTACATCTGGCACAGAGCTTGGCACACAGCAGTCCAGGCTGCGTGGACTCCTGGGGGTTAGAGCAAGGAGAATCTCAGAGTATCTGTTCCTGGCGGCCTAGTTGACGATATGAGCACCAGGAAAGACTGGGCTTGCCCAGGGCCCCCAGAGAGTCAGTGCTGAGCAGGCCTGGTCAGGCTCTGCCCTCCCCCACTTGGCAACCCTGTGCTCTGGACAGAAGGGCAGGGATCATGTGGCTTCCTAGAGCTGGGACATGCTTTATTTAACAATGATAAGTTCATCCATTCATGCAGCCTCCTAGGCCCTTGCACCTATGCTGGGATAGATGCTGGGACAGGGGATCCATGAATGAATCGGGGATGAATCTCCCAGCTTAGTGGGAGAGACAGGAAAGCACACACATCACATGAGCTAAAGCAAGGTGGAGAGTCAGCTCATGAGAGGTGCTCTGGGATATCAGAGGAAATCAAGATGACTTGGGGGTGTGGAAAAGGAAGGGCTCTTGGAGGTCAGGAGCCTGCCGAAAGGGTGGGGGTGTGAGGGGGAGGAGCCAGGCAGCCCTCCAGCAACCCCACTCCTCCCCCTTTCCTGAAGCCCCCCTTCAAACCTTCCGTGTTCAGGGAGGAGGAGTCCTGACATTGGTTAGAGGCCTGCTGTTGCTATTATCGCAATAATAGTAGTAAATCCCAGCAGCTCACCTTCAGGGAGCCCTTGTGTGTTTCAGGCCCTGTGCTGAGATACGGACCATCTATCTCGCTGAAAACTCACAGCAAACCTCAGCAATAGGATCTATTATGATTCCCACTCGACAGATGAGCAAGCACCAACTGGGGGAGGCTAGGGACTTGCCCAAGGTCACACAGCTAGGGTGTGCTAGAACTTGACTCAACCCCCCTCTGACTTAGAACTTGGGGTCCTTCCATCAACTTGTGCCACAAGCTGGGTGAGGACCCCTGGGTGGCATCAGAAATTCCTTCTGCAGAGAGAAGGGTCTGCACCCCATCCAGCTTTAAGGGGAAAGGGTAGAGGGTGAAAGCTCGGGGTGGGGTGGGAGGGTGAGGGAGTTAGTTCTCCCCCCCGGCCTATAAGCTTCCTGGTTTGGGCAGGGCCCGTCCTTAACATTCTCAGGCGAGGGCTGGAAGCCAGACAGCTGGGAGCAGTGGAAGGAGTGCTGGGCTGAGTTGCAGAGCCCTGAACTCACAGCCAGTCATAGCTCTGCTCCTTTTATGCTCAGTGACCCTGAGTAAGTCACTCGCCTTCTGGGTCTCACTTGCTCATCCATAAAATGGGGGTGATAAAACCTATCTCCCAGGGTTGCTAGGAAGCCTTAAATAAGACGATTTAGGAAAGTGCCAGGCACAAAGATGAATAGAAACCAAAAACAAACAAACAAAAAAACCCCACTTGTTTTCTCTGCTTGAATGGAATCCAGTGGGGCCACTACAGAGAATACCGTGTGTGGTCCCTCCTACGCTGTGTGTTCCCAGCTCAGCGCAGCCTTTGATCCTACAGGAGGACCTTACTGAGCTGGACAAGGTCCAGCACAGGTCTCTCAGCCTCTGCTACCCTGCCATGGGGCATAGGTGGGTTTTGTATCCCCAAATGAATGACCGTGACCTCCTCAAGGGTACATCGGATTTAACCATCATTTATTAAGCACCAACTTCGTGCCAGCCCTGTTCATACCCGTTATCCCCATGCCAGCCATCAAAGTTAGGACTCTTGGCCTCATTTTATAGATGAAAAAATGGGTTCAGAGAGGTTAGACAACTTGCCTGCAGTCACACAGCCAGCAAGGGGCAGAGACAGGGTGGGAAACCAGCTCTGGGTGACTCCAAGACCAGAGTCCCTTCCACATGGCCTCTCTGGGCCCCCTCCCCCCAAATCTCCATGGTGGGGAACCTAAGGACATCAGTGGAAGGCTGGTAGAGACCCACCAGGATCTGAGTTTCCCCTTCGCAAAGGGGTGCGATTGGCCCGGATAGTACTGAGCGCCTCTTTCTACCCTGGCATTCGAGGCACCTGACTACACGAATGGGATGCAGGATGGGCCTTGAACTGTTCCCCAAATCTCAGCTCACTTTAGGACTTCCGGAGGGTGACCCCTGCTGTGTCCAACTTCACAGTGGAGAGCGCCCTTTGGGACACATCCCCCAAGACCCTCTGGGTTTAGAAGCTGTTGAGGGGTCCTGATGCTGGGGACCTGGCCTCCCCCAAAGCTCTCTGTGGCTGCTGGCCCTGAGGGCCCTGGGGGTTTCCGGGGCAGCCCCTTTGCCAGCCCTCCTGCTGGGGCCTGTGGTGCCCACTCACACTGGATATACCAGGCCCTCCAGATGGCGTTGTTGAGGCGGATCTTGTCCCGGCACAGCAGCTGGAGGCCTTTGAAATTCTTCCACTTGGGAGAAACCAGCTTGCCACTGTCAGAGGGAAAGGGATGGGTCAGGGGGGGCGTGGGGAAAGGGGATGGTTGGAGGGGGCTGGCTCCACTTTCTTCCCATGCACGAGGCGCTCATCTATGGTGGGCAACTTGATGGACACCCCTCCCAAATCCTGCCCCTCACTCTAACCTGCCTGAAATGTCTACCCTGAGAGGCAGACCTTTAAAATACTCTCCCAGGTCCCCACTTGGGGCCTCTGTGTTCTTTGGTGAGACCTGCTGAAATCTGTTTAGCAGCTCAGGTGTCAGAAAGACAATGCCCATTGGCCTCGCAGGCATCTATCTCACAGGCTGGCTAAGGAGGGTTTTCGCCTGTTTCTTACTTAAGGAAACTGAGGGTCAAGAAACAAAGGGGACATGCCCAAGGTCACATGACATGATGGAGACTCACTCAGGACCTGTGGCTTTTTCTCCACCAGTCTCACTGGCCCCCTTAGGCCTAGGGGATGGGTAAGGTTTGTCTGAGTAGAGACGGAGCCTCTTCACCAGAGGCAGCCTCCAAGCAGCCAGCCACTGCCTTTTCACTGCCCTTCTGGTGTCTGCCCAGCCCAGAATCCCAGGATGGCAATCTGGACTGACCTGGAAGGTGCACCCCTTCCCAGGGGTGTGTGCAACACAATAGCCACCAGGGCCCACCCAAAGGAAGGCAGCTAGGATGGTGGAGTGATGGGCAGGGGGCACCTTGATCCTAACCCTGACCCTGACTCTAACCCTAGTAGTCAATCAAATCCATGAGACGGAAGGGCTCTACCAGGTGAGGGGCTTGACTCTCAGGGTCCTGATGGGCACAGGCCAAGTCTGCCACCCCCGGGGAGCTGGCCTAGGAGGCCAAGATGTTCAGGGTCTTAGACCCCTGCTGGCCCCTCCCCCGCTCCTCATGATTCACAAGCTGGGTTATGCATGAGTCCCCTCTGGCCCAGCTTCTCCAACCCTTGCTCACAGGGAAGGCTGAGGCCCCAAGGCTTAGTCTTTCAGAACGCCAGGCCTGCTCTCTCCAGGGCCCTCTCCCAGTTCCTGGGGGTGAGGGGCAGGTGGGTGGCAGTCTGGCTCTTGCAGCCCCTTGAGTGCATGGGTCACTGGGTCCCCTCTACTCTCTGGTCTCCAAGCTCCTGTGTTTGCTCTGGGGTTGGGGGGGGACTGCTACCCCCAGGCACAACAGGCCTCATTACCCAAATAGAGCACATGGCCCAAGCACCCGGGCCCGCTGGCTGGCCCCTTTCCCTCCTAAGTCAGATAAACACCATCTGTCTAGAAGGGAGACATGGAGTAGGGGCACTCTGATACCTCCTGGGCCAGCTTCTTCTGTGGCACCTGGGGGCACTCCTGAGTTTGTTGCCCCAGCCTGTATCCCAGCAACCTCCCAGCCCACTCTGATCACCCAGCGCCCTACCCCCAGCCTGCCTGCCCTCCCTCCTCCATTTCCCTGCTGAGGCTACAGCGTTTGTGGCCAGGCAGGGCTGGGGGAGGTGAGACAGTGACATCCACACCCAGGAGGAAAGGATTTGGTCTGTGCTGGGCCTGTTGGCTGGGAGGGGAGGAGAGGGGCCCAGCCTGGAGCCAAAAGCCTGTGACCAGGGTTCAAGGGATTCTTACGAGCAATAGAAATTCTGGGAATCTTGGGGATGGGATGGAGAAAACTCAGAACACCCCACCCTCCCCTGCCCACACACACATATCTACCTTGTGGAAATTTCCCTGGAAATTTCCTTAGAGTCCTGCTTGCTCCACCTCACTCCTGAGGCCATTCTTTCCATAGCTAGCCAGCTCTGACCATGAACAAGTGTTTTCTTGGAACTTCCAGAACCTGCCTCACTGAGGGTTCCACCCGCAGAACCACGGAACACGGGCCTCCTCCCAGTGCAGCAGTCCTCTCTCTGCCCATACAGCCCTGCTGAGGGTGAAAGCTGGTCAGACGTCTACAGGCTGTTCTCCGGGTCAAGCTGGCCAGTTCTTCCTGGCACCTCTGGACTCCTTGCCTTGCTGTCCCTGCCCATCTCCTTACTCTCTTGGGATACCCCAGCTTCCACAATCCTCTCCCCTCCAAGGAACCCCTACAATTAGGGGTCTTTAAGGGCTAAAACACTGTCCCAGTCTGAGCCTCAGTTTTTTCCTCTATGGGGGAACTCAAAGACTCCTCTGATACTGAGCCACTACCATCCCTGGCACTTAGGACCCCACCCGGGGCGGGCCACAGAGGTTGAATATTCTGGGGGTTTAGGGAGAAAGCCCAGCCCTCTCTACCCCAGCTGCCCCTGAATGGGGTCACATCAGCTTCCAGTCAGCCTCCTAGTGTGGGCAGTTCTTGGAGTGTGCTCTGCCCCCGGCCTTGCCATTTCCCCTGAGCCTCCCCTTTTGGTCACTGTGGTCTGAGATAGGGGCATGGGCCAGCCCAGGCAGAGCACTGTGTAATGTAAAGCAGAAAGCTTAAGTTGGGAATGGATGGGGAAAGGGGGACCCTGGGGGAGTCTGGGGAGCAGGGGTGCCCAAATCTGGTGTACCGTGACCTTAGATGCCCTTTCCCAGGAGGTCCCCTGATGTCCGAGGAGGGGCGGGAGGAAGGGATGGGAATTTGAACTTTCCACACAGGTCTGGCGCTCTGGATGATCAGATTGCAACACGACCTGGGCCCGGGGCCAGAGCGTGTGGGCCAAGGTTACAAAGCGTCCAGCCAATGGAGTCGAGGCTGGGCGCCACAGTGGGGGGTGGGCAACACTCTTCCCCAACCCCCACCCCAGCTCTGGATCCCAGTCAGAGCAAGTGCAGGTCTGTAGCCAGCGGTTCTCAGAAGAGGAGGAGGAGCCGCAGAGGAAGATTTACACAGAGAAAAGATCAAGGCTGGCCGATCCCCCTTTCTCCCCTACGGTTCTCGGTTGATAATTTATCCTGGTCCCTCCGCTCCGGGGAACTTTGCTCTCCGGAGCACTGAGCCAGGACCCCGGTTCGCGCCCTCCCCTGGGACACAGGAGTGGAGCTGGGGCCGGGCGCGGCCGGCGTGCTCTGCGACGCGCCAATCAGGGGTCCCAGGCAACATTAGGCGCTCAGCCTCGCGTGGCGACCCGGGTGGGCGAGGCCACGCCGCCCGGAGACCAACCCCGCGCGGCCTGCAACACCCACTGCCGGACCACGGCTGGGAAACTAAGAGTTGCGCCCCTCTGGGCCGGCCCGGGCACCCTCCTCCCGCCACCCTCGACGTAGCAGGTCAAGAACAGGTGTCCCGGCAATTGAGGGGTGCAGGGTGGACGAGAGACTGGGTTTCAGTCGACGTTGGCTATGAATTGGGACAACATGGGCGCGAGGTGTATCGCGAGGGTGCAAGAATAGAGCGGGCCTGGGCGGGGACTGCTGCGTTGGGAGCGGAAGGCTGCAGGTTGTCCGGTGGAGTGGCCCCCGGAGTGGAGGGTGGGAATGTTAGGATGGCCTAGGGTCCTGGGAGCGCAAGGAATGCCCTGGGGGCATTCTTTGGGGGCAGAGGGGTCGGGACGGGAGAGAGAGGCCCGTGGTGGGCCTACGGAGGTCGAGGTGGAGGGCAGGAGATCCCAGCCTTAGGGAAGGGGGTCTTGGTGCTGAGGAATGGGAACCAGGAGGCGCGCAAGCATGTCGGGGGCCAGTGGGCTGGGCCGGGGTCAGAGGACGCTCCGGGCTGGGGAGAGGAGGGTATCCAGGATGTCGCCGGAGTCTCTGAGAGCAGCCGGGACCAAGGCTGGGGGCCGGGTGGGGTGTCCGGGGCCCCAGCGCGCGGTTCCGCCATGGAGGGCCGAGGTCGTCGGCCCCGAAGCCCCCCTCACCTGTAGGCCAGGCTCATGCACTCGAAGAGGCGGGTGAGTGTGGGGTCGATGCTGCGCGGCCCGAAGTCGGCGAGCCCCAGGGGCCCCTCCTGGTCGCGCCGCCGGGTCAGCGAGTCACTGTGCGGCGACGACACCATGAAGTGACCGCTGTGGATGACCTGCGAGCGGAGCAGCCCGCCTGCGCTGCGCCGGGTACTTGGGTCCTCCGAGTCTGTGTCTGAGTCCGAATCCGGGCTGGGGACGACCCGCGGGCCCTGCAAGCCCGCGACCAGACCCGCCAGCGCTCCGGCCGTGGCCATAGCCGCCGCCGCCTCGCCTGGGCTAGGTGCAGCTGCCCGTGCAGCTCTTGGGGGCCAGGCCGGCTCATTAGCATAGCCCCGCCCCCAACCACGATAGGTCGCTCGAGGGGGCGGGGCCTCGTGGCGTGTGGGCGTGGATGGGGCTGTCTTAAATTAGCATAATCAATGTGACAGGTGTGAGAACGCTGGCCTGGAGCTCCCGCGGGTCTAGAGTTTGGAAGAGGAGGAGGTCCCTATGTCCCCTCCCGTCTTTCCTTATGCTGTGTCCACTTGGAGTCCTGGTGGAACCGCCCCTACTTCACCCAAAAGGGGTCTCAAGAAGAGTCGTTCACACCTGAGCCAGAAAGCGCCTCAGTGCCAGGGATTCCTGCCCCCAGGGGTGCCCTCCCGTGAAGCCCCTCACCTAACTACTGCCCCCCTGCTCTCTTTGATCTCCCGGCTCACATTCACTCTCTCAGTGCTCCACGCAGCTGGAAGCACCCACCTCTCAGAAGTCTCGCGTGGCCTACCCACAGGAAGGTCTCAATACCTCCAGTTACCATTATAATCATCACTGCACCTGCACAGAGGTCCTGGGGGTTAGATGAGCGTGAATGCTGCCTGGCCACGCAGGATCGTTACCAGTGGTGATGGGTAATCGCTGGCAAGGCAGAGCCTTGGTCACCCTCCCCTGGACATCCCCTAGGCAGGCCATCTGCTCTGGGCTCCCTCCTCTCACCGACCCAGTGGTCCACCTTGTGTTCCTGTTTCTGAAGGCCCTCTTCTCACCCAGAGGACACAAACTAGGCTGTTCGGTCTGAGGCAATCACACCTGTCACCTCACTGGCGCCTTTAACAATCCTTAGAGGTAGAGTTCTTGCCCCACATCAGAGCGGGCACCAGAGTCCACAGGAGTGGAAACAGGCCCACGGATCTACAGAGGGACAGCCACAAAGCCTGGTCTAGAAGAATTCCGGCATTCCCACCCAGGGCTATCTCTGGTGCAGGGACAGGTGAGGGCTGGAGGCAAATGTTAACCTCCCTTGGTTTTGCAGAGGGTGTGGCCTAGTTAAGACACAGGAGGGAAAGGGGAGGAAGTGGTCATTTGGGGGCTGAAGGCTTGGAAAAGGTTCCCCCACACACTTTCTTCCATCCCCTGGTAGGATCACACAGCTCCCACAATCAAACAGCAGTGCCCTGAGGGCCCCTGGGACCGCTTGAGGTGCTGAAATGGTTACCCAGGCTGGTCACAGGCCAGCCCTTCCACACACCACGTCCCTTGGACAGGTTCCCTCTGTCCCTGACAGTCACCTCACATTCCCAGGAGCCCCAGCTGCCCTGCTCCACTTGCCCCCTGCTGCTCTCTGCAGGTGTTCATTCTCCCTGCCCACCTCTCCCAAATTCTGGGGCTCCTCGTATGCCCACCTCAGCCTGCCTCCTCTGGAGAGAGGGCCCTCCCTAAGTGGCCCTTTTGGGATCCTTGGCACAGTAGATTTCCCTTATGTGCCTGTCTGACTTCTCCCCTGGCCTCTGGGCCCTGAGGCAGAACTGTGTCCTAGAGTATCTGAGCCCCCATGCTGGGCACCCAGGCACTTGGGGAACGCACTGTGGAGGTAGGAGTAGGAAGCAGGGCCTCCTCTCCCTTGGCGCCTCCTAGCTTCAGGGGCCCTAGCTTAAGCAGACACCTGAATTGATCCTGCTCTGCCGCTAATTCCGTGAATGACCCTGGGCAAGTCTCTGTCTTACTGGGGATCTGTCTCTCTGTAAAATGGGGAAGTTGAATTCAGTGATTTCTTAGGGTCCTGCAACTTGAACCACCCTTGGTTCCAAGTCCCTGCTATCAGCATTCCAGCTCACCCCCCCAGGCTCCTCAGGCCTCCTGTCCCCAGGAGAAAATCTCAGAGTTGTGTTCTGTGGTTCAAAAGACTTTCCTTTGAGCTGGTTCTCAGTAGAGTGCATTATCTCCCTCACCCCTTGCCCTAACCCTCCACAGGCATCTGCACCCCATTTCTGCCCTCCTGAGGGCCTGATAATACCTTTGGAGGCTTAAGCACTGAAAAGACAATGCCTCTGCACATAATTCAAAACAAAACAACACTACAACAAATAAAAGGAAGTCCAAGATAAACAAGGGCCTATTGTGTAGCACGGGGAACTATATTCAATATCTTGTAATGACCTATAATAGAAAAGAATCGGAAAAGAATATATATTATATTTATATTAAAAAATATATATAAAGAATATATATATAAAAAATGGAATCACTTAGCTGTACACCTAACAAACTAACACAACACTGTAAATCAACTATACTTCAATTAAAAAAAAATGACACAAAAAATACAAAACAGTTACCCAAATGAATTTTGGAAAAAAATAAACTCACTTATCTGAATAAAAAAAGGAAGTCCACAAATTCTGATTTCTCACATGATGACATCTTCAATCTTAAAAATACGTATATCAAAAAAACAACAACAACAAAAAAACGTATATCAATTACTAAATTTTAAAAACTGTTCTGGGACTTCCCTGGTGGCGCAGTGGTTAAGAATCTGCCTGCCAATGCAGGGGACATGGGTTCAATCCCTGGTCCAGGAAGATCCCACATGCGGCGGAGCAGCTAAGCCCATGTGTCACAACTACTGAGCCTGCACTCTAGAGCCCACGAGCCACAACTACTGAGCCCACGCGCCGCAACTAGTGAAGCCTGTGCGCCGAGAGCCCGTGCTCCGCAACAAGAGAAGCCACTGCAACGAGAAGCCTGCGCACCGCAATGAAGAGTAGCTCCCGCTCGCCACAATTAGAGAAAGCCTGTGCACAGCAACGAAGATCCGATGCAGCCAATAAATAAACAAACAAATAAATAAATAATCCATCACTAGTCTAAATAAATAAATAAATAATTTAATTAAAAGTGTTCTAAATGCCTCAACTTTCCTGAGGCCTTGAATGTGTGCTTCATTCACTTTATCCAGCCTCCCCCAACCTATCTGTATGGCCATTTAAGGGAGTACGTATTCCTCATTCCAGGCACTGTGTCCAACACTTTTGAACCATCATCTCTAATGCTACTGAAGTAAGTGTTATTAGCTTCATATTACAGTTGAAGAGACAGGCTCAGAGAGGGGAAGCAGTTACTCAAGGTCCCCAGCTGAGAAAAGGCAGAGCCAGATCTGACTTGGAAGTCCTGGTTCCTACAACTATGAGGCTGCCACTCTCCATAGACCGAGGGCATAGCCATTTCAGAGTGTCCTTGCCCAGATGACAGTGCAGACTTGCGTGTGCTAGCCCAGGTCACCCCTTCGCTCCTTTCCCATTTGGCCTGTATCACCCAGTGTTTATAACCTCTTGCTACAGACAAGTCTTTTTCACAGCTGTGGAGATGTAGGGCGGGGTCTTGACTGGGTGTGAAGACGTGGCCGTCCCAGAGGTCCTGCCTGACACCAAACCCTCCCTGTCTCCCAGCCTTAGTTCTCAGGATTGCTCCCCCAGACTGCCATTCGACGTCAGGAAAGCTTACCCATCCTAGATGGACCCTAGATGCCACTTCCTCCTCTAACATCTTGTTCAGATACAACTGTAATTTCATTCTGCCCTGCGTTCACATGCACCTGCCTCTCTTCCCACTAGATGGCAAATTCCCCGAAAGCAGGAATCACATCTTACTTCTCTCAATGGACCATTTTCCTCTCAAGTGCAAATGGGTATTTGTTGAATGAATGAGTTTATATTATATCTATCTACTAAGTGTGCTCTACCTATTCATCTGTCTATCTGTCTATCTATCTCTCCATCTATCCATCCAGCCAGCCACATGCACACACATAGATAACATTTATTAAGAGCACATTATGCGCCTGTCCCAGTGCTAGGTATTTCACTTTTGTGAAAGTTAAAACATATAGAAAAGCAAAGATTTGGTACTCTTAATATCCATAGAGATGGAAAGTAGATTAGCAGCTGCCAGGGGTTGAGACTAGCTGGGTGTGGGAAAATGAGGAATGATTACAAGAGGTATGGGGTTTCTTTTTGGGGTGATGAAAATGTTCTAGAATTACATTGTGGTGATGTTTGCACAACTTTGTGAAATACTAAAAGCCAGTGAAAAGGGGTAAATTTGATAATAAGTGTATTATATCTCAGTAAAAAAAATTAGGCATTTAATATATTATTTCACTTACTGATAATCCTCCCCACTGTGTGTGTATGTGTGGGTGTGTTCGTATTTTCATTGCCATTTTACGAAACGGGAAACTGAGGAAGGGAAGTGATTCAGAGGGTTGTTGTGAGAATTAACTATAAATAGTTAATGTTTATGGAGCCTAACCTACTCAGTCTAGGGAATCTTCCTAACAGCCCCATGACTTTCAACCCATTTTGTAGACAAGGAAACAGGCTTTGCTGAAGGTCACAAGGGAAAAAGAGAATGGGAGGGACTTCCCTGGTGGTTTAGTGGTTAAGACGCCGCACTTCCACTGCAGGGGGATTTGGGTTCGATCCCTTGTCAGGGAACTAAGATCTCACATGCTACGTGGTGCGGCCATAAAACATAAATAAATAAAATTAAAAATTTAAAAAAGAGAATGGGATTCAAACCCAGGCAATCTGATGGAAGCCTGGCTTACAAATACCTACTTTCTCAAATTAAAAGGACTAGCAATTGTTTGTGAGGATGTGGTGTGCACAGAACCCCATCCACTGCCACCATCACTGTGTGACTTGGCACAATCATTTTGGAAAACTATTTGTCAGTATCTACCAGAACTGAACATCCACGTACCTTATGACCCAGCAGTTCCACAGAAACGTGCACGTATGTGCACCAAAGAGTATTCAGAGCACCATTATTCTTATTAGCTCAATATTGGAAACAACTCAAATGTTTATCAACAGGCGAACGGATAAATATATCACAGCACAGACACACTACGGAATCTTAACACAGCAATGAGACGAACACTCTACCACCAGATGCAACCATATGGATGAATCTCACTGACAGTCTGTTAAGCAAAAGCAGCCTGACATGCAAGTGTGGATG